GTCTTCCGAGTGGTCGCAGTTGTGGACGTCCCAGCGGATGTGGGAGCAGCGGAGCAGCGAGGCCTCGTTGCCTTTGCACTTGAGGTTGTCGAGGAAGATGTAGCCAGCGCCCTGGCCATAGCGCGCCTCCCCCCAGGCCGCCACGGCGTGCCCGCAGCCCAGCTGCCGACACACCACCTTGGCGTCCCTCAAGTCCCAGGCATCATCGCACACCGTCCCCCACTGGGACAGGTAGAACATCTCCACGCGCCCCTCACACCGGTGGCTGCCGTTCACCAGGCGCAGGAACCCTGCAGGGGCGAAACGGTGCCGGGCGGTGAGACAGCCCTGGGGCAACCTCGGCCAGGGTCCTCCAGGACCCCAATGCCAGATCCACCTCTGCTCTCCAGTACTTCCTGCAGCTGCAGGATCTCAGCCTTGCTGCCCTAGGACAGGGGGAGAGCAGAGCTGCTGCTCCTTCAGTCCTTCCTTATTAATACTAACAGCCAACTGGACTGATTTCCCATAGCCAGTGGAGAAAGGAGCTCTATCCAAGCAGGCCACAGCAGGAGCAAGAAGAGACCAGACCTCTCTTGCTTCTTCTAGGCAGCACCTCCAAAGCAGGGCAGATGTTTGCTGCTCCTCACAGCTCTGGCACCTCCTCCTCACAGACAGGGAAGCAGAGTGCATGGGGGATGCCCACAAGTCATGTCAAAGCTAGGACTGACCTCAAAAGCATTATGGTGATGAAAGACAACATGGCACAGCAGTTGGAGCTGGGAAATGGACGTTCAGATTCAAGAACCAGACAATTTCTGTTGCTGGCTCAGCATCCTTGGTAAATCGTGCCGTCCCCCCACCACCGAGCTATCTGCCTGGTCTGCCTCTCGGGAACACCGCGAGAACTGGGAGAGTGTAACTGCAAGTAGTTGTATAGTGCTTTGAGACCCACAGCTTAACAGCTCGGAGAGCCAGGAGCACAGTTTTTCTCCCCCACGCAACTGGGCTGCTTCAGATCAGTGTTTCAGTCACTGTCAGAGCTGCTGGCCTCTACCCAAACCACTTCCGTTTCCACCCTCTACCGGTGCATGACCTCTCCCAAGGGCAGTCTGGCCCTCCTGCTCACGCAAGATACCTACCGTCCTTGGGACGGGTTGGGGCCAATGTGGTGGTTGTAAAAGTAGCTTCTTCGAAATGATCTCCTGAGTCATCAGCACCTGACAAAGAAGGGAAGGGGTGAGAAAAACAATTAAGGAGACATCTGTGCTCTCCGGGGTCAGGTCAGAGCCCCAGCACATGCAAAGTGGGGCCAGCAGAGGACAGGCACAGGGCAGCTGGAGGCGAGTGATGTGGGAAGTGGCAGTCACTGTGTTTAGAGCCTCAGCAGGGGAGCACCCTGTTAAAGCAGAGGCAGAGGTGGCACCCGTGCTTCAGCCATCAGCTCCACAACATCTAAGCAGTGCTGTCCTCTGCTTGTAAGGAAGAACCCCTGACCAGTCTTTGGAGGCCCTCTCCTTGAGGTTCACGTTCAAGCACCCACATCACACCATACTATTTCAGAGGAATCAGTGAGCAGAAGTCTGCTTCCCTTGGTCAGCCTGCGTGGGGCTGAAATCCTTTCTGGACCTATTATCTCGTGGCGTTTCAAAGCTACTGAGACGGACTTCAATGGAGACCCCCACGGAGGACCCTGACATGGCCCGAGGCCCCAGGCAATGTGATCCAACGCCACCTCTCCAAGGAAGCTGGCAGCCCCGGTTGCCTCGCTGGAGGCCGTACCGCTCCTCAAGGGCAACGTTTCAAGAGCAAACCGCCTCCGTGGCGGCAAGCTCCCTGGGGAACGCGGTTCCTCCGGGGGGGG